AACACACAATATCCAGGAAAAAATGTTACAGAACAATTAAGAGTACGAGTGATTTTACTGATGGAAAGCAGATTAAATGCAAAATTAGGAAGACTCAAAACAGGCGATAATGATAATGTAGAAGTTGGAACAACAGTACCAGATCCAAGAACGGGTGAGGTAGATCCATCAGCTAAAGTGACATTAGAAGTAGGTAAATATGAATGAAATGACGAGAATAGACTAGGATTACCGGTCATATGATCTGTGGCACCTGAGTCAATGACCCATTTCGAGGATGAGGAAACAAGACACGTGTTTGAAATACCTGAATTAGCGGTTACCGAGATAGGGACAGAGGAATGCTTTAGAGATTCTTGGTAGCAAATAAATTTGGCATACTCGTCTGAAGAAATAGCAATTGATCCATCGGATGAACCGGTAGCGGAAGCAACATGAGCTTGCTGATTTCCTTGATTTTTGAACATCAATTTTCTACATTCTTTAATCAAGTGCCCGGACCTCTTGCAGTAATTGCATATTATGCCTCTGTCAAATTGACCCGTACAAGACATTTTTTTTCCCTCTTTTTTTGTTTTTTTTAATGAAAATGTAATTAAGCTCAAAATTGAGATATCCAATGAAAACTTACCGCAGCCCATTTATGAAAACTCGACCTATTGCTTGGGCAATTTGCTTGGGCTTTGAGTGCTACTCCAGACAGAAGCCCGATTCCAGACCCAAGGAATAAACAAAAGAGCCTGCGTATGTCCAGACGGTAGACCCAAGCGTCGTAAGACCAGAACGTGCATATGTCTGGATACTTCGATGCCAGACCCCAGCTAGCGACCAGAACGTTCTGTAGAGAAAGAACGAGAGAGAAGTAGCGTAACCTGGTGAGGTGTAGCGTAACCAGTAGAGGACTTCAGGCGAGCCTGTTGAGGAGTTCCGACCAAATCGCTGGCCAGAAAAGCTGTGTCATGCGCCGGACTTGTGGTGGCGCGTGTAGCACGTTCGCCTTGCAGTTGGGTGTCGGATTTAGTCCGCTGGGTCGTCTGAGGTAGGCGCACCTCCTGAGTATAAATGACTTAAATTCTGCTTGAAGAATGCTAACTGAACTGAGTTTCTGGGAGGAAAAAAATTTAGCAACTAATTGATTTTCTGGATTAAGAATCTGGTTCTAGGGTCTTTTGATGTTCTGGAATAAGAGTCTGGATAGAGGTTCTGTAGAAGTGAGTTTCTTGGAGACAGAAGGGTGTGTAAGGTTCTGGAGTTAACTGAGGTTCTGGGAAGGGTAAGAGGTTCTGAAGGTTCTGGACTGAAATTAGTTCCTGGAGAAAGAACCTGGAATCTAAACTGGGATATGAATGAATAAACTGAAGTCTGAAACTAAACTGAAATTAATGTCTCTGATACCATGTTGAAATATAAACTAGAATAATATTGAAGAGTGGAGGAAAGATTTTCTGTGTGTTTCATTGAAGGGTAAGGCCCTATAAATATAGATTACAAAGATAGAATATTCCTATAAAAGATGCTATACAGTAATACTATATATGGTATATTCCTAATATATTCTAAAGCATATTCTAAAGTATATTCTAATATACTTTCACAATTAGTCTAATAGGTCGATCCCTATCAGTTTCTTGTAATCTGTGGCATTTAAGACTAGGCCATCCACATTTTGATGCACTTAAATCTGTACTCAAATATTGTAATGTGTCCTCAATCAATAAGAGTGATATCTCTTTCTGTTCTTCTTGTTGTCTTGGAAAGGCACACAGATTACCTGCACAATCATCTGGTACTATCTATCATTCACCATTTGAACTAATCACTGACTTATGGGGACCAACACCCATCTTATCCTTTGATGGATACTCAAATTACATATCATTCATTGATGCCTTTACAAGATACACTTGGATTTATTTTCTGAAAAAGAAGTTTGATGCTCTCACAGCCTTTCAAAATTTTTATCAGTATGTTCTGACCGAATTTTCCACATCTATTAAGTCCATCCAATCTGACTGGGGGAGGAGAGTTTAGATCCTTCACCAATTTTCTCACTGAAAAAGGCATCACTCATAGATTAATCTGTCCACATACACACCACCAAAATGGTGTTGTTGAAAGAAAACACATGACTATTGTGGAGAAAGGCCTATCCATTCTAGTTCATTCTTCCTTGCCTTTCAAATTTTGGGACACTGCTTTTGCAACCTCAGTTCATCTTATCAATAGAATTCCATCCAAATCCATTGCTAACTCCAGTCCTTATTTCAAACTTTATGGGTCTATTCCAAACTATTCAATTCTCAAAGTTTTTGGTTGCTCTTGCTACCCATTTATCAGACCTTACAACAAACATAAAATGGATTTTCACTTTGAAGAGTGTACCTTTATAGGTTACTCCCCTCAACACAAAGGCTATAAATGCCCCTCCCCTTCTCGCAAAATGTATATTTCCAAAGATGTCATATTTCATGAGACTAACTTTCCTTACTCTGTTCTTTTTCCATCACCATCCTCTCACTCTAATAACATTCAATCCTCAGTTCCTCACCCTTTAACTGTCCTTAATTCTCAACCAACCCATTCTCCTTTTGATTTCTCTCTTTCTCATTCCAATGAACCTCCATCAACTGCTTCTGAAACACACAGTTCATTACACTCATCCTCTCCCAGATCTCATGAATTCCAAGATCAACCACATACTTCTCGTAATCTGTCTCCAAGTCAGTCTCATTCTATGTCCTCAGCACCTTCCTTCTCACATTCTCCTCCTCCAACTAACACTCATCCTATGCAAACCAGGGAAAAGTCAGGAATTGTAAAACCTAGACTAAATCCTACCTTACTATTAGCTCATACTGAGCCTAAGTCAGTTAAGCAAGCTCTCTCATCTCCTCAGTGGCTCTCAGGTATGCAGACTGAATATGATGCATTAATGGCAAATAAAACCTGGTCCTTAGTTCCTCTACCACCTGACAAGCAAACTGTTGGCTGTAAGTGGGTTCTCTGTGTTAAAGAAAATTCTGATGGTTCTTTAAACAAATTCAAAGCAAGATTAGTAGCCAAAGGGTTTCATCAAAGGTTTAGTTTTGATTTTGGAGAGACCTTTTCACCTGTTGTTAAGCCTGTCACCATCAGAGTTCTACTTATCTTAACAGTATCTCATAACTGGTCTATTCAACAACTTGATGTAAATAATGCCTTTCTAAATGGAAATCTTGATGAAGAGGTTTATATGGTTCAACCCCCAGGTTTTGAAGCCAAGGACACTTCTCTTGTTTGCAAACTGCACAAATCCCTGTATGGCCTTAAACAGGCTCCCAGGGCTTGGCTCCAAAAACTGACTTCTGTTCTCTATGCTGCTGGATTCAAACAGAGTAAATGTGACCATCTCTACTCATTTTTCTGTCATCAGAAATTCATATCTACATCTTGATCTATGTAGATGACATCTTGGTCATTGGAAATAATTCTACTGCCATTCAAGAGCTCATTCACAAGTTGCATTCATCCTTTTCTCTCAAACATTTGGGTGACATTGATTTCTTTCTAGGCATTGAAGTCAGAAAACTAAGAAATGGTAGTTTACATCTTTCTCAAACCAAATATGTGAGAGATCTTCTGCATAAAGCTGGAATGCTTGATTCAAAAGGAGTAAAAACTCCTATGGTCAGCAGCTGCAAACTCACCAACACAGGAAGTGATATCTTACCTGACCCATCTATTTACAGATCCATAGTTGGGGTTTTACAGTATGCAACTCTCACACGGCCAGAAATTAGCTATGCAGTAAATAAAGTTTGTCAATTCATGGCTACACCTTTACAAGATCACTGGAAAGCAGTCAAACATATTCTTAGATATCTCTCTGGTACTATAACCCATGGCCTCATAGTCAAACCTCTTCCTTTGGCCAGCATACCTCTGGCAATCTCAGCATTCTGTGATGCTGACTGGGCATCTGATCCTGTTGATAGAAGATCTACTTCTGGATCTTGCATCTTTCTTGGTCCAAATATCATCTCTTGGTGGTCCAAAAAGCAATTAAGAGTGGCCAGATCTTCTGCAGAAGCTGAATATAGAAGCCTAGCAGACACAACAGCTGAAGTCCTATGGATTCAATTTCTACTTAAGGAGCTTCAAATTCCTTTCACCATTCCTAGAGTTTACTGTGACAATCTTAGCACAATACAACTTGCACATAATCATGTGCTACACTCTCGCATAAAACACATGGAAATTGATTTCTTCTTTGTCAGGGAGAAAGTTCAATCCAAGCAGCTTGAAGTATTCCATATCCCAGCTCCTCATCAACTTGCTGATGTTCTCACAAAACCTTTGACCGCCTCATTCTTCCTTGACTTCAAGACCAAACTTAGTGTGATTGATCTTCCAAATCAATCACCCTAATTTTGAGGGAGGAATGTTAGGAATACTATATGCACACCTATTGTAATAGCCTAGCATTAAGTCTAGCTGTTGTAGTTAGTTAGAAGCTGCCTGTTGTTTGTTATAAGTCTGTTAGAGCTTCAGCACTATATATAGTCATGTAACTGCTATTGAGATTAATATGAATTGATTCCTCTTCATCTTTACATTCTGTTACTATTCTAATAGTTTACAATATAAGAATGGTTCCATGATTTTTAAGAGTTGTACCTTGACCAAAGAGACCCCCTTTTTTGACGGGGGGGGGGGGGGGGGGGGTCCATATGCTTCTGTCTCTTTTTCATTTATTCTGTATATCTTTGCTGTAAATATCCGGAAACAATCTCTTTGTGCTCTAGTACGGGGGTAAAGGTGCATACATCTGACCCCCATACCCCACCGTAGGTGAGAGCCTTTGCGGCACTGAAGTAATGATGACGATCTCCGCTGTAAATAAGGACGTGGAGGTGGGCAAATTAAAACATGAGAAACCAAGCATGTGAAAAGGTTCATAGTCAACCTATAAGTCTCAAGTGTGGTGTTGCAGAACAGCTTATTGACAATTTTTGTCTCAGGTCTATTAACGAAGAAGTTCATTAATCTTATCAAGCAAGCAGAAGATGGCACTCTTGATCTGAACAAGGCAGCTGATACATTAGAGGTCACCTTACCTTATCTTATCAACTCTCATACAGTTTCTACAAGCTGAAACTAACTGTTTTTTCCATCTTATGTCTTAACAGGTCCAGAAAAGGCGTATCTATGACATAACAAATGTACTGGAAGGCGTTGGTCTAATAGAAAAGAATCTAAAGAACATAATTCAGTGGAAGTACGAAAATCTGTGCAATCCTACTAGTTTGAGTATTAGTTGCTAATAAAATTTATTTCTTCTCAACAAAGGAAAAGCAACTTTTCAAAATGTGTGCAGGGGCCTAGATGTGTCAAGAACGGAAGCCCGTGATGAGAGAGTTATGAGCTTACAGGTGAGATGAAAGTAGTATGAGTTTGAGGAGAAGCCTCTGATGCTAAAGATTTTTTTTAATACTCCATCCGCTCTGTTAGGGTTAGATCTCACACAAGCACGAATCTGAAAGACTAGAAAAAGAACGAGAAGAACGGCACACGAATATAACGTGGTTCAGCCAGTAAGTGTTACTGACCTAATCCACGGAGGCAACTAGGGTTTTCTTTCTTATTGAGATGATGAATGATACAAGTCATAGTTTACAAGTACAGGAGTCAATATATATAGGCAAACAATTAGGGTAAAACTCTTAATAAGGTTTTGGGCTTGACTGCCACTAAAGAAACAGGCCCAACTAAGGGCTGCCTGCACATTTAAATAGAGCAGGCTCTGCTCTTTGTTTATTTGGCTCCTAGATCTGAATGGGCCGAAGCCTACAGCCCAACAATCTCCCACTTGGAGGCTTCGAAACACGATCAACTGCACTCCACTCCTCTGTACTTCTGTAAACTTCATCTGTGTTTAGCTCCTCCTAGTTGCCCCCTGCCTTCTCAACATTATTCTTGAAGGCCAGCTGAAGTTACACAGAACTTCAGCTTGTCCAGCGTCACAGATTTAGTGAACATATCTGCTGGATTCTTTGCACCTGAGATGTTCTTCAAGTTCATCGTTCCTCCACTGATCAGCTCTCTGACAAAGTGATATCTCATCCCAATGTGCTTTGTTTTCCCATGATAGACTGGATTCTTGGCAAGTTTCATTGCATTCTCATTATCACAGTGTAACGAGTAATGTGCTTGCTTTTTGTCTAACTCGTCAAGGAAGTTCCTCAACCAAATCAGCTCTTTACTGGCTTCAGCAACTGCCATGTACTCTTCTTCGGTTGTTGAAAGAGCTACACTTTTCTGAAGTTTGGACATCCAACTAACTGCAGTTCCTCCCACTGTGAAAATGTACCCCGTTGTGCTTTTAAAAGTCTCTTTGCATCCACCCAAATCAGCATCAGAATACCCTCTCAAAATCACGTCTTTTCCTCTTAAACATAACCCCATCTTTGTAGTACCCTTCAAATACCTAAGTATCCATTTAACTGCTTCCCAATGTTCCCTCCCCGGTTTTGACATGAAGCGACTAACAACCCCGACTGCATGAGCAATATCTGGTCTCGTGTACACCATAGCATACATGAGGCTACCAACTGCAGATGCAAAAGGAACTTTAGCCATTTCTGCTTTATCTTCGTCTGTTCTCGGAAACTGGTCTTTGGTAAGCTTGAAGTGACTTCCCAAAGGCATGTTTCTTGGTTTAGTCTTCTCACCATTCATTTTGAATTTCTCCAACACTTTCCCAATGTACTTTTCCTAGGATAGTGTTAAAGAATTTCTTGTTTCTGACTATGCTCATCCCTAGAATCTGTTTGGCTGGACCCAAATCTTTCATTTCAAATTCTTGAGACATTTGTTTCTTTAACGTGCTGATCTCTTTCATATCTGCACCAGCTATCAACATATCATCTACATAGAGAAGTAGAATGATATATGAACTCTTGAACCTCTTCACGTAACAGCAATGGTCCATCTCACATCTTCTGTAACCTGTCCTTATCATGAAGTTATCAAACTTCAGATACCACTGCCTCGGTGCTTGTTTTAGACCATATAAGCTCCGTTTTAGTTTGCAGACCAGATTTTCTTTTCCAACAACCTGATATCCTTCAGGTTGTGCCATGTATATATTCTTATCAAGATCGCCATGTAGAAATGCTGTTTTAACATCTAGCTGCTCTAGATGTAAGCCCTCTGCAGCTACAATACTTAGAACCAATCTGATGGTGGTCATTCTAACCACTGGAGAAAAAATATCATTATAATCCACTCCCTTTTTCTGCTGGAAACCTTTGACCACTAAACGGGCTTTGTACCGTTTTGACCCATCAGGTTCATCCTTGATTCTGAATACCCATTTATTTTGAAGTGCCTTCTTACCTGGCGGAAGCTTAGTAAGAACCCATGTCTTATTCTTGTGTAAGGCATCCATTTCTTCTTTCATAGCCTGCTCCCACTGAAACGAATCATGCTGCTTTATTGCTTCGAAGTAACTTTCTGGTTCTCCATTTTCAGTCAAAAGGAGATAATTGACTGAAGGACTGAATCTTTCTGGAGGTTTAGTGACTCTAGTGGATCTTCTGACCCACTGTGTTTCAACTGGCTGCGGCTGCACAGGTGAAGGTGCTCCTTCATCCTCTGAATTTTCACTATCAACAAAGTTTTCGTGATCATCCTCAGACTCGTTAGTACTGGAATCATTCTCCAAGCTCCCACTGTCTTGAGTATCTTCAGACTCTCTGTTTCTGATGACATCATTTTCAAACTCAACCTGCTCTTTCTGAATCTTTGAGTTTTCTGTGCTTCTGTCTTTATAAAGTTCAGCCTCGTTGAATGTAGCATGTTTACTTCTGACTACCTTTCTACTTTCAATGTCCCAAAGTCGATAACCCATGCTGTCTCCCCCGTATCCAATGAAAGTGTATTTCTTGGCTTTAGCATCTAACTTGTCACCATCTTTGATAAGATCATAAGCGCTGCATCCAAATACCTTTAAATGCCCATACTTTACTGCTTCTCCTTTCCACTCTTCCTCTGGTATCTTGAAACCCAATGGTACGAATGGCCTCCGGTTGATAAGATAAGCGGCAGTGTTCACTGCATCAGCCCAGAACGTCTTTGGAAGCCCAGCATTAAGTCTCATACTTCTGGCCCTTTCATTCAATGTTCTGTTCATCCTTTCTGCCACTCCGTTCTGTTGAGGAGTGCCTGGAACCGTCTTTATCATCCGAATGCCATGTTCAGCACAGTAATCAATAAACTCTGTGCTAATGTATTCACCACCATTGTCCGATTTCAAGCACTTTACCTTCAGATTAGTTTCCAATTCAACAACAGTTTTCCACTTCTTAAAAATATTGAAAACTTCAAACTTATTTTTAAGAAAGTAGACCCATACCTTGCGTGTTGAGTCATCAATGAAGGCCACATAGTAGCTTGATCCTCCCAGGGAAGAGACTGGTGTTGGCCCAAACACATCCGTGTGAACTAGCTCCAGCTTATGAGTTTTCGGTGTCTGACCTGTCTTCACAAAAGAAGCCTTCTTTTTCTTGCCAAGTACACAAGGCTCACAGAACTCAGAATCCACCTTTTTCAAATCTGGAAGTTTCCCCCTTGCAACGAGCATCTTCATTCCCTTTTCACTCATGTGGCCTAGCCGTTGATGCCACAAACTGGATGCATTCACCCCGCAGGTCACTGCATTCATCTCATCATCAGGAGCTTCAACCATATATAAAGTGCCCCTCTTTTTGCCTCTGGCGATTACAAGATTCCCCTTGACAACTTTCCATTGTCCTTCACCAAAAGTAACATCAAATCCCTGATCATCCAACTGCCCAATAGAAATCAGCATCTTCTTAAGGCTTGGAATGACCCGAACGTCTTTCAATGTCCAAGTGGTGCCCAATGAAGTCTTTAAGCCTATGTCACCCATCCCTGTCATGTCAAGAGAGTCGTTATTAGCCAAACAAACTTTACCAAAATTACCTGTCCGTAGATTCTTCATCGCCTTCGTGCTGAAAGTAGCATGAAATGATGCACCAGAATCCATAATCCACGTTTCTGTTGAGTTTTCAACACAACAGATAAGGGCATCATCTGAATCGTCAGTGGCTGCATTTACTTCCTTCCTTTCTGAAGATTTAGGGCATTGATTTGAATGATTTCTGAAATGCCCAGTTTCTTTGCAGTTCCAGCATTGAATATCTTTTCTCGGTTTTGACTGGCTCCTCTTTCTAGACTTTGATCTGCCTCTGCCATTTCCCTTCTCTTTCTTTCTACCTCTCCCTTCAGTACTTAACAAAGCACTAGAAGATTATCCAGAACTCCTCCTTCTTATATCCTCTCCTAGGATAATGTCACGAATGCCCTCAAATGTGAGTTTAGAGGTTCCAGTTGAACCGCTAATCCAAGTCCTTCTGACACAGCAAATCCTCAATTTGCATCTTCCACCATCCAAAATCTTGTCCATCAAACTTCTCGACTTTGGTTTTTCCGTCATCTGCCATTGTCCCAGTCCTTCACAATCTGCCGGCTATATTCTTCTGCGGCAGGGTACTGTTGGCGGCACAAGGAGGCTGAAGACGCAAGGCGGCAGCAAGAACGGCACACGAATATAACGTGGTTCAGCCAGTAAGTGTTACTGACCTAATCCACGGAGGCAACTAGGGTTTTCTTTCTTATTGAGATGATGAATGATACAAGTCATAGTTTACAAGTACAGGAGTCAATATATATAGGCAAACAATTAGGGTAAAACTCTTAATAAGGTTTTGGGCCTGACTGCCACTAAAGAAACAGGCCCAACTAAGGGCTGCCTGCACATTTAACTAGAGCAGGCTCTGCTCTTTGTTTATTTGGCTCCCAGATCTGAATGGGCCGAAGCCTACAGCCCAACACGCTCCTCTTAGTTTCTCCTATAGGGTTTACTCAGAGTCTAAGAGAAAAGTTGTAGTCGTAGTGAGGAATGTAGAAATTGTATGACAGAAAAGTTGAAGTAGGGAAAACTGGAAACCCAAGATGAAAAAGTAAGCGTATTTATGCCTTCTAGAAATGAAAAAAGTAGGAAAGTTGTCTAAGGGAAAGTGGGGCAAGATATGATGAACTTTCACAAGCGAAAGGAAAGCACTCAAAAGTGATTGGAAGGAGTATTCGGGTTTAACTTTGGCAAACACAAAAGCGAATCAATTTTGATTACAAGTTGTTAAAAACACTTATATTTATATCTTCTAATCTTTCTATAAAAGAAATTAATGAATATGATGGAATTGAACAGATAACTAGAATTGATTTGAAGTCCAACCATTTTTTGTCCTCTAATTTTCCCTTCAATTTTCCCTATACATTTTCCATGCTCCAAATATACCCTAAATATGATTTCAAATATTGGGATGTAATCTCATGTTTGGTGCTTTCTATTCAGATGGAAGTGGAGTGTCTAACTTTGGAGGAGCATAGAATAGATGAACAGATCCGGTAATTTTGTGTGTTAACATTATGGAATTGTGCAATGCCATATTTATGTTGTGATATACTTATTTTGGATGCCATTGACTTGCTTTAGAGTAATGCAAGATAGACTGAGGGACCTGAGCGAAGATGAAAACAATCAAAGGTTCGATTTTTTTTTGGCATATCAGAACTATAAAGTTCAAGTGTTTTATGGCTGTGAATTTTGCATGCTCACGTTTTTTTCTTCCAGATGGCTTTTTGTTACTGAAGAGGATATCAAGAACTTGCCTTGTTTTCAGGTTCTTAAACTAAACAGAGCTTTAAAGAAATTAGTCTGGGTTGATTACATTGAACTGCCATTAAGTTTGGTCAAGTCACTAAGTAACCGTTGAGGATTTTGAAAATTGCAAAAATAAGTCCCTTAGTAGTCAAAAATTTCCACAACTGACACTTGCGTATATTAGTAGCTATTGAGTTTTTGGACTAAATTGCACTCAATATTTTCCCACAAGATTACTTGTGTAAGAAAGCTTTGAATATTTCAGAATGTACTAAACCACAAAAATCAAACTGAAGGTGCAAACTTCTGGTAAATATTATCATATCCTTTAATCTTTTAGTGTGAAAAGGGTCATATGTGGAAAATTTGGTTGGTCAAGGGGTTAATTTGTGATTCTCATAAACACGGTCGTACGCAAATATAAGTAGCCCTTTAATTTATGTTTGCTGAATTCCCCCCCTGCCTTGTCACGAGTCTCACCACATCATTTTGATTACTCGAATACCCCAGTGCCGTCATCATTACCTCAGTGCCGCAAAGGCTCCCACCTACGTTGGGGGTAGGGGGGTCGAATGTACACAGCCTTACCCCTGTACTAAAGGATACAAAGATTGTTTCAGGATGACCCATGGAATACGTTTAACTTTCAAGTACATTTTTTTCCTCTTCAGAACGAAACACTCATAGCGATTAAAGCACCACATGGCACGACCTTAGAAGTTCCAGATCCTGATGAGGTTCCCACCCTACACTTGTATTATTATAATAAAGTTTTTCTTTCTTCATATCCAATTTCCATTTTTTCGTGTTCTAGATTCCTGTATTTACTTTTTTGACCTTTCAACAGGCCGTTGAATATCCACAGAGGAGATACAGGATAGTTTTGAGAAGCACCATGGGTCCAATCGATGTTTACCTGGTCAGGTATTTTGGCTTCTTTGAACATGAAGACTTTTTTTACTTTTTGAATTGCATTTAATAAAATTGTAACTTAGAGTGAATTGAGTAATTATTTATCTCACGAGCGCCTTCTTTTATTTTCTTTTACTATCAACCTCCTAATAGCCAATTTGAGGAAAATTTTGAGGAGATGAATGGTATTGAAACACCACCCACCATCCCTTCAACCAATGAAAATTTAACTGGAGCGGTAGCAAGCGAGAGAAGAGAACATGATGTTGGCGCAACAGACAGGTTATCTCTGGATGTGGGTACATCGCATGACTTTGTATCTGGGATCATGAAAATTGTTCCGGATGTTGATGTAAGTCCATTATCTACTTCTATTGTTGTTGACGTTGTTGTTATGATAAATAAGTGCTTTTATATCTGACCCACAAGATGAACCACATCTAATTATGTTTTCAGTTTGGACACATTTGTACTATCTACCCACCCCACTTTAGTCAGCCACATTTGACTTTTCTGGCCAAAGGTTTTCAAGTTCGACTAATAATAGTGTAATACACTTTTAGGTAAACATAATTTATAATGTGAGCACAATGAAAAATTGGTCTTCGTTAAGTGTACTCTTGTACAAGTAAACAATTCATTATTATTTGTTCATTGGTCAATGTTCAACATCATTGACCAAATGTGGTCTGTAATTGAAGCGGGATGGTGGTAATAGAAGATACATGGTCCCTTTTTCGTCTATGCCGTATCCTTCATGGCTACTAGAGACATCTTAGTTTGGGGGGGGGGGGGGGTCCTTACCTGTCATTCGAACAGCTAGTACAAAATCTTAGGGAAAACTATCAAATAAGCCCCTTAACTTTTCAAAAAAATCAATTAGGCCCCCTCACTAAAAATCCGATCAATCAAACCCTTCGAACTATTAAAAAAGAGGCAAATCATCTTTTTAACAGGTACCCTCCGAGTTCCCGGTCAGGCTGCGTACATGGCGTGTGAGGTGGCTTTTTTTCCCTTCCCCTTTCTTCTTCCCTGCGCCTCTCTTCTTCTCAATCCGCGCCTCAGCACCTGCAACTTAATTTCTTCTTTCTTTCTTTTTCCTATTTCTCTTCTCCTTCCTAGTTCTCTGCTCGTTTTTCTCGGCCTCACTTCACCCTCCTCGCTGGTGTATGCTTCCTCCGCCTATTACTCTTCTTTGCCGTCGACTAGGGTCTAAAGCCGGATTGAAGCTACGAAACAGTCGGAAGGAGGAGCCCATGGCTGCTGGTACCGACGGACAAGCCCTCCGCAACCTATAAAGGAGAAGGAACCTTCAGCCGGAGTTGCTGGACGAGAAGGAACGACCTGTCCTGGTCGCTACTTTCCGGCGAGATTCTCGGAATGGCTCCTGGAGCTATAAACCGGCGGATGGGGTGAAGAATAGAAGACTCTTCTTAAATGGGAAGGGAGCTGATAATCGGTGGTAAGGTGGGAGAAGAAAGAGGGAGTGGAACAAAGAAGATGGAAGAAGGGGGGTTTACTGGAACAGTGGAACGGGAAGGAGGAAGGTGAAGGAGAAAAGTAAAAAGAAAGAAAAAAGAAAAGGAATAAAGAAAGAAAAAAGAAAAAAATAGAAAAAATGAAAATTTCCGGTGTGTTCGTACAAAATAACCGGGCAGTTTGTTCATTACTGGTCAAAATGAGGATTTGCCATTTTTAACTGAGTTTGAGGGTTTGATTGATTGGATTTTTAGTAGGGGGGTTTAATTGTTTTTTTTGAAAAGTTGAGGGGCTTATTTGATAGTTTTCCCAAAATATTATGATATTTTCTACCAGAAGGTGTTTGACCGCCGCAAGATAAAAACCCAGCCGCGGGCATCATGCTTGGTAAATGTTAGAGATTGAAATGAGTTTGAGAAGAAGAGCTATATGGGTTTCATACCTCCCATTAGTGCAACACTTGTAAAGTACAAACTATCTTTCCCATTCCTCATCCATCTCCAAAACTTTCTACCAAGCACCCCCTAAAATATACTTGTGGTATATTTGCTTTTATCATTATTGCTTTCTCCTTTAAGCACTCAAAGTGATCTGTTATGTTTTTCCTTCTTTTGTTTTGAAAAACCACCAATATGGTGCTTTCTTAAATAACCATAAAAGTTCAATGTTTAACACACTTTTCATAAATGCACGCTTGAATTTTTGATGCGGTTCATCTCTCAGGAGGACAGTATGAGTACTCTTTTTATAATCACCAATTTTTTGTTCAGGTCTCATACATGGATACTAGTGGGATAAATTAAATTGCTATCTTTCCCAGCCTAATGGTTCCTTTCCTTGTTTTTTCCCGACCTTTGTAGAATGAAGCAGATTACTGGCTATTGTCGGACGCTGATGTTAGCATCTCTGACATGTGGACTGAATGTATCCTTCCTACCTACAGATTTTCAATTTTTCCTTTGAAACTATCTGTGTTTTAAATAATATCTCCTTCTAGGTGCTACATTTCCCGTCCGCAAACATTATTTTGTTCTTGTTTCAAAATTGCTCACCTAGTGCTTTTGGAACAGTTAAAACTCTTAGGGTGAACATGGTCCCATTCCAACCTGGTTCTAATTCTGGTCTAGGATCACTTGGAACCTCAACTGGACTGTGTTGGTGTTCTTAGGGCAAGTGGTTTTGGACTTGGTCAAATCGTGAATTACACTATGTGAATGGCGGTCCTAGTTATGGTCCCTGGACTGTCCATCTGGTCCTCTATTCTATAGAACCGGACCGGGAAGCTTATTATATATCACTGTCCTGGACTGTATACCACCCATATGGTGTCTTCCCTGACTGTCGCATATAGCTGGAATTGACCTAGGCACAATCAATGAAGATTGCACCGTGGAAACTGTTGTTACTACTACTCCCGTCTGCCTAAACTCTGACGGGTGATGCTATTACTGAGCCACAGGGCTACCTTAGAGCTTCTCTGATGTTGGGGTGTGTGTGATGTTGTACATTCTTCTGGTGGATGAGTTTGAGAATATTGATGAAGGGTTTCATTGTTGTATAGTTTATGTTAGCTGGACATATGTAATAATAATAATAATATCAATAATAGAATATAGATGTTAAGCACTTATTGTCCAGAATTTGGAATAGTATACCTCGTTCTATAATGATGTTTCTATCATCTACATACTTGATTAGGCAATTAATAGATTGCCTTCTTCAACTATTAAAATGTACAAATATACTCCTGTAGTATGTGTATGAGAACAAATATATATCTATATTTTATTTTTTGAAACAAATATACTCCTGAAGTAGGGATGGATTCGGGCCGGGTTGGGCCCGGGTCGGTCGGGCCGCCGGTTCAAGAAAAGTGGGCCCGGGACCGGCCCGCGGGTTGGACGGGTCCGGTTCGGGCCGGGCCACCCGCCCGGGTCACGGGTCGGGTCCAGTTCGGGCCGGGCCGGTTAAATTTTTTTTTTATATAATTTATATTTTATATTTTATAGTTTTATACGAGTATTAAAAACAAACTTCAATTGCATTTATTTGAAATGAAATAGGAACTACATTTGAAAATTAAAACAAACTTTAAGAGAAACATTTTGAAAATTGTAATCAATCGGAACTTCCTGCACCTCCCGATCCTTTGGCTTTGTCACATGACTTCATATGCTTGATTGCCATCCCGAATCCGCCTGAAGCCCCCATGATACATTTTTTTTCGCACCATTTGCAAATTGCGTACCACATACCGGTCTTCGGGTCCTTCTGCTTATCAAAATTATACCGTATAATGGCATTTTGATTTTCCATCTTAACTTCTTGGAGAAGAGAATGAGAGTAGATATATAATATATTGGAGAATAAGAGAATTAGAGAGTAGAGAGATAAGAATAGGATTTAGGAAGAATTGGAGAAGAGATATGAAAAAATGCAATAATGCTGATCCGAGCCCGCCCCGCCCCTTCCCACCGGTTCGGGCCCATACCTGGTCTCGGACCGCCCGACCGGGCCGGTCCCGGGCCCGCACAGTACCGGGCCGGGTCACGGGCCGGGTGGCCCGAACCGAATCCATCCCTATCCTGAAGTTTATGTAGAATTGCATATATACTCTTGAACTTTTAAAAGGTACAAAAATACCCCTCATGTCCTACAAAGAAGCAAATTTATCCTTATTGACTTTAAATAAATTTTTAAAAACACTAAAAATAAATTATAAATTCGAAAATGAAAAATAAAAAAAGAAAAGAGTTAAAAATAATGGTTTGTTTTTATGTTAAAATATTAACTCTTTAATTTTACATTGCAAAATTATTATTTTTCTTTTGTAAATGAAGCACTTCAAATTCATAAATATTAATTTTAATCTTGTGAAATTTTGAACACATTGTTACATTTTTTGAAATAACATTCTTTGACTTTGTTTAACCCTAACAAAATTAAATTCACTGTTTTGTAATATTGGAATTTATCATCATACAAGATATGTAATTTTATGGTGCAAAGAATAGAAAAAATTTATGATTTTTTTTTAACATCGCAACACATGTTATCACTTTTCCAAAGAATCTTAAATACAGAGTATATAGTAAAGTTTTAAAATAATTTTATACAAACAATATTAAACTGTGATATAAAAATAATAAAAGGGAGAATTGGACACAAGTATATATTTTTTTTTAATTTCAAATTTATAATTTTTTTGGTGTTTTTTGAAATTCATTTTATCTGTTGAAAGTTCATAAGAATAAATTTGCTCCTATATAAGAACATGAGAGTATTTTTGCACCTTTTAAAAGTTCAAAGGTAGATATGCACTTCCACATAAACTTCATGGTTATATTTGTTCCAAAAAATAAAACATAGATAAATTTATTCTCACACTCATACCAGAAAGGTATATTTGTACTTTTTCCCTTAATACAACACATGGAAGTCAGATCAAAATCCTTCCTCTTTCGTTCACATATACAGAGCCACAGAGGGACAGGGATTGCTACACCGCCTACCCCTATAAATGAATTGGGCCCTAGATCTATAAATGAGTATATTAAGCGAATTCTTTTCCAAAATAATGCTAAAGAAAAAAACCCGGGAAGGTGAGTGTAGTCCAATTAGGGATGGATTCGGGTCGGGTCGGGCCCGGGCCGGGCCTAGGCCCGGTCGGGCCGCCGGTTCAAGAAAAGTGGGCCCAGGACCGGCCCGCGGGTTGGACGGGTCCGGTTCGGGCCGGGCCACCCGCCCGGGTCACGGGTCGGGTCCGGTTCGGGTCGGGTCCGGTTCGGGCCGGGCCGGTTAATTTTTTTTTTATAATTTATATTTTATAGTTTATAGTTTTATACGAGTATTAAAAACAAACTTCAATTGCATTTATTTGAAATGAAATAGGAACTACATTTGAAAATTAAAACAAACTTTAAGAGATAAACATTTTGAAAATTGTAATCAATCGGAACTTCCTGCACCTCCCGATCCTTTGGCTTTGTCACATGACTTCATATGCTTGATTGCCATCCCGAATCCGCCTGAAACCCCCATGATACATTTTTTTCCGCACCATTTGCAAATTGCGTACCACATCCCGGTCTTCGGGTCCTTCTGCTTATCAAAATTATACCGTATAATGGCATTTTGATTTTCCATCTTAACTTCTTGGAGAAGAGAATATGAGAGTAGATATATAATATATTGGAGAATAAGAGAATTAGAGAGTAGAGAGATAAGAATAGGATTTAGGAAGAATTGGAGAAGAGATGAAAAAATGTTTAAGATTAGGAGTATTTATAGGGTTTTTTTACCCCCCACCCCCCACCCCACCACCCCCCACCACCCAACCCCCCCGAACCCCCCCCTTTACCCCACCCAACGGCTATATAGCTGTTTGGGTTGTCCCCAGCCCCACCCCCAACGGCTAGTAGGAGCCCAAACCAAAATTTTTTTTTTTTTTAAAATTGAACCGGACCCGGGCCCGGCCCGACCCGGCCGGGCCGGGTCACAATAATGCTGAACCGAGCCCGCCCCGCCCCTTCCCACCGGTTCGGGCCCATACCCGGTCCCGGACCGCCCGACCGGGCCGGTCCCGGGCCCGCACAGTACCGGGCCGGGCCGGGTGGCCCGAACCGAATCCATCCCTAAGTCCAATGGATGACCATCCACCCCCAAGTCTCTCTTTTGTGGAAGGTCTTGGGTTCAATTCCCACCAAGGGAAGATGTCAGATGAGGGAGGTCTTGCTCTCAATGATTCTTCCTACCTTCACGGAGTTGCTCAGCGGCTGAGAAGGGAGAGGATGGTAATGAAGGTAGCGGGTTCATGTGGTGGGAGGAGCAGCCTGAAAGGTGATGTAAGCCCTGCTGGATTCGTCCTTTGGAGCCAGTACTGACGAGGCTGACTGTGATCAGATCCGGATTTAACTGTCTAGAGGCTTTGGAGGGTAGTTCATAGACTACAGGATTATGGGAGCGTAAGCCCCGACACATGGATTATCAAAAAAGAAAAGAAAAAGAAAAAAAAACCTATTTACCAAATTAGGATTGAGTTAAAACTTTTTAATTTTTACGAAAAATATATCACAATACATAATTTTTTATGATCTTTCATATAACACCAATAATGCACATATAATTTTTTTTAAAAAAATGAAGGTCATATAATTTCAATTAAAAAATAAAAAATCTATCCCCTAAAATAAGTATGATGCGAAAGTTATGAATTTTGATAAATTTTTTAGACTCAGCTTGGATCAGGAAGAAAGAAAGTTGATTGGAGACATAATTTTGAGTTTTGATATTTCTATTGGACACTATATGGTTAATTAACTTTAGCTAACGCAATGTAGAACGAGGTTAAGCGCAGAATCTCTTGAGATGCTTATATGCTACCACGATTGGTTGAAAACGACCCGTATAGCACAAGAAATCGACATCACCCATCCCAACACTTTATGGATGAATCTACAACCGAAGATGGCCCTACCTATGTTGGAGATTATTTCATGTTTTAATTTTACAAAATGTATTTCATATTGTATGTTTTTCTTAATTGTCAAATGTATTTCCTATTTCATTTCAAATAAATGCACTTGAAGTTTGTTTTTAATACTTGTATAAAACTATAAAGTATAAATTATATAAAAAAAATGGTTTTAACTGGCCCGGCCCGGCCCGGCGGGTGGTCCGGCTTGAACCGGACCCGTCCAACCCTCGGGCCGGTCCCGGGTCCATGACATACAAACCGGCGGCCCGACCGGGCCTAGGCCCGGCCCGGCCCGGCCCGAGTCCATGTCTAGGCCCGGCCCAGCCCGGCCCGAGTCCATGGGATTGTTATGAGCAGACCGCAAATAATAGGGATTATTATCCAATTTTCCTTTTAATTATACAGTTCCAAACGGAATGGACAAATCTTCATACCAAAATTATCGAATACGTACTAGCGTAGTTGTTTTTCTTTAATATTAGCACTAGACTACTAGTATTATTTTACAACATGAAATAAAGATATACTTCCTATACTTTGATCTTCCATCCACGTTGCAAAAGTGCTTCGTTTACGCGGTTTGCTGCTTCTGTAGTATCATTAAGTGGAGGGTAACTCCATGTTTTTGACATCTGAACACGTTTACCAGCAAGGTTAAATTAAGATGATGAGATTAGTAACTTAAACTAAACCAAACCGCAAGCCTAAAAAAATGCAGCCCATAGAATTCCCATGGAATTCTAAAAACCAGACGTAGACTATGCAGCCATTTTTTAGTTACTTACAAAATAAGTGCAATGTTTTCCAAAACAAAACATGACATCAGCACTAATGATGTTTTTAATTGGACTGAAATTCATATGGTCTGGTAGATGTCCAATTTCTGTGTATTATATAATTGTCTTATCTGTTTAAGTCTGTCTTATCTGGTCTGGTCGGGGACTGAAACCAATCCAAGTAAATACATCCTAATATATGTGTGTGTGTAAAATATCATTTCAATATGAAGACAAGAATGAAACATATTTTTATAGTTAGAAGTCGGAATCAAGTTATGTTGTAACTAGATAAAAAGGTTCTAAAACATCACGTATATTTTCATCATTTCCTGATTTTCCTCTACACCATGCATTCTAAATCTAATGTATGAATGGACAATATGCAAAACTACTTACGCTGATAATTAATTTGGTCACAAAGCTGTGAATTTTTTTAACATTCCTTGTATACTCCCTAGATCCTAATAGGCTAATATATTGTATATATAATATATAGTGTGTGTGTGACTG